TGTGTGTGTGTGTGTGTGTGTGTACGTGGCGAAACACCAAACCAATGTGCCAGGATCTAAACAATATGGATATATTTTATCTTATCTTATCTTATCTAATTTTAATTTGACCGCAACTGCTTCTCTTGTTGCTACATTCATAGTGAGTTTAAAATAAAATTAAATCATAATTTTTTGTTACATGAAAGTGCTAGGACATCGTAGTAACAATGTTACCCTGGTATATTTATTATGTCATATACTTCCATAGTCAGCTATTGGCCAAATCCATACACATTCTCAGGTGGCGCAATCGATGATTTTGAGAACGCTTTTTTTATTTGCCCAAAGAGAAGAATTGCCTATTTTGTAGTACTGGATCTTTGACTCGCCCCCTTTTGTAATCGAATATTTCATTATGAATAGCATTTGATTTGTATAGCGCATAAACCTCGCTCAACAGCAAGATATGGGCGCTTTAGAATCTATTATTAACCCTCCGAGACATTTTCAGCTTCCTGAATATACAGAAAGCAGCTGATTATGCGCTGAAACACTTACAAACTGACAAGATCATTTGTTGGTTATGGCTGGGTACTCGTCCTCATCTGGCTGAAGTGTGGAAAATTCGTGTAAAATGACTTTCCCAAGGACAACGTCGGGCTCCTGACGGGGTTTGAACCCATGACCTTTCAATTGCGAACCCAACGGCTGACCCACTAACCATCAGTGCCACGTATAATTATTCTAGCAATTACAGCAGTGGGGTATCGAATTTAGTAAATGATCCTTCATTTTGTGTTTGTGGTTTTTTTTATTGTATTCTTTTAATTTGTTTCTGGTCAGTGGAGAAAGTGGAGACAAAGCAGACGACAAAACATTATTAGAGAGTAGGAAAGGAGATGAAGGTAGAACATATTTAGAGAAGAAAATTTTCTGTCGCTGTCCGGATTCGAACCCGGGACCTATTGAATAAGAGGCGAACACCGTAACCTCTCGACCACGAGAGCTCCCGTTAGTGTATTTTAATTTTTTCTTAGTTTGAAGCACGATGTAAGCAATCCCGTCAGCCTGCTCGCTACAGGAAAGTGGGAATACGACTTCAATCAGGATGTATTATGCGAGGTTTGATATCAACGATTAAAATGAGATAAAAATCGGAGAGGGAGGAAATAAAACGTATCTTTTATTTAGAGGAACAGTTTTAAAAACCGTTTCTCCTGACAGACTGTTCACTGGCAATTCCTTTCTCCCCGATTTTTGTCACAATGTTCCACTTTTGTTGTTTTGCTTTGTCTCTTTTTCTGCTCTGTCGAGAACACTGACCAGCTTCCGCGGCTTTAATCGTTGGTGGTTGGTGGATGCTCTGGTGGATGCTCTGGTGGGGTTTGCTCCTTCTTTCCTATCAAACATCTATTGCCTTTATCTCTCCTCCTTTTCTGTGTTTTTTATTCTCTCGTAACATTTCTAATCTTGGGCACTTAACCGACCTTATTGTGCTGCAAGAGCAGTAAAACTCTGACTAAAACAAATGACTTTAATCTTCAGTCAGATCATAGTTTACTGGTGGTCAGTACGTTAAGAATAAATGGTCGCTTTTAAGGACAAGCGGACTAACCTAGATTTCGGGGGTTTCCATAAATATTGCCCTACACCAAAAGTGGACTTTGCCCTTTGTTTGGTTATGGAGAAAATGCTACTTGTCTTTTAAAGAATCTGAACAAAGGGCCAAAACTTTACCTTCGATTTTCTCAAAACAGAATTTTTTCGGAATAGCCCCCTTTTGCTTAAGCGAACAAATGAACAGGAAATATCTGGTGACGCAAGCACTTGAAGTGTCGTCCGAATGGTGAATAAAAACATTCACAGTTACAGTCCGTTGTTCTGGCGTTCAAGTCTCCACTTTGGCTGTTCGATCGTCGGAATCATTCAGAGATCGTTTTTTTTTACCACGTCCTTTTTATTATTTCTGTCTTGGCTATATTTTGGCCCCGTCCCGGTTTCTCAACGTTGTGATCAGAGTTAACTGCCTCTAGTGTTGTTGTTTCTGTATCCGTTGTTCATCTTGCTTTGCACCTAACTCTTCTCTTGCACATTAAATTGTGAATAAATATAGGCCGGTGGTCAATTTCAACTGTGGAGTACTTTTCAAAGTGAAAAAAATAACAACAAACAAATAAAACAAATATGAAGACCAATATGAAAACACGAAAAGACGGATGTATCGCTTACATATTTCCATGCCCTTAAGCACGTCGAACAAGCATTCGATTACACCGCTACTGCCTCTTTTAGCCATAGATGTCATAATCGATACCGACCGGAGGCGAGTTCGTGATCAGTTTCTGGAGATCTACATTTGAAAAAAAAGTGTGTGTGCGTGCGTGCGTGCGCGCGCGCGTGTGTGTATGTATGTGTGTGTGAGTGTGTGAGTGTGTGTATGTATGTGTGTGTGTGTGTGTGTGTGTGTGAGTGTGTGTATGTGTGTGTGTGTGTGTGTGTGTGTGTGTGTGTGTGTGTGTGTGTGTGTGTGCAAGGAGGGGAGGGGGGCAAGTTACGGATTCTCCCCGCAGGGCATTCTCGAGGCCTTACTTGCTTTCAATATAACGAGCATCCTTTTCGTAGAAGTTATAGTATGCTCTGTCAACTAATGAGGTAAAATGAAACGTACAAAGTTGTTACAATTGTAATTATAACATTTGAAGTTGTTCGCCCCGGTTTTAGATACTTTACTTCCAACCGTGCTCGTGAGGGCCAACCTGATAGAAATAGATACCCGATTTAAAAACAAACAAACAAACAAATGAACAAACAAACTCTCTTCGCACTCGAATCGAATTCACATCTTCTGCAGTCGACAACTAACACCCTAACCATTACACCACAAAAGCCGGTAAACGTACAGTGAGCCTCAAACCTTGCTTGGGGATTTGGAGGGGGGGGGGGCGGGTTCGTGATGTAGAGGTTACGGCGTTCACCTCTCATTCAATAGGTCCCGGGTTCGAATTCGTGCGAGGGAAAATGTTCTTCTCTAAATAATGTTCTCCTTTCACCTCCTCTCCTGCTCTCTAACAATTTTTTGTCGTCTGGTTTCGTCTCCACTTTCTGCCCCCACTCCATCGCCTCCTTTGCCCCCTACTCTGGGCTCCTGACTCTTCCTACAGCCTTTCTACTGCTACTCCTTGGCTCTTTCTTAGTGCTGTCTTTCAACCACACCCCTGTCCTTATGGGTAAGGGTGAAAAATGTCGGAAGTCCCGTGGGCAAGTTGCGCTCGTTGAAGATCCCTTGGTGGTCCAAAATCGATAAGAGTAGACTCTGGCCACCAACCGGGCAAAATCCAAAATCTCTACCAAACCGAAACGGTTTAATGTGTCCCGCGCGCTCATATGACCTTATGCAGTTGCTAGCGCCTTAAAACACTTACCAAAAAACGTGATTAAAAAAACAAACAAACCAAACAAACCAAACAAAGTGTTTGGTTGGCGGGTGCTCTGGTGTGGTCTGGGTTTTTTTTTTCCTATGAAACATCTATCGTCCTTATCTCTCCTTCTTAATTTTTATGTTTGTTACTCTCTTGTAACACCTCTAATCTTCTGGCGCTCGTATGACCTTATGCAGTTGCGAGCGCCGTAAAACCTCTACTAAAACAAAACTAAACTAAAACCAAATAAACAAACGAACCTTGCTTGTAATTAATTTCAACGGCTCTTTCCATCGCCAGGTTGTCTCCCTAGCGAGCATGGAGGATGAGTTTGTCTTCTACTTCTACGACAGCCTGAACAAACTGCAGCAGGAGCCGCACATGCGCAAAGTGGAGTACGTGGAGGACGTCCTGCTGTCAGCTGAGGTCTACTCCAGGGAGGCTTTCGCAAATCAAGTGCTCCGGTAAATAGTTGTTTAATAAGTAAATAGATAACGAAATGGGTAAATGAATAGATGGATGGATGGATGGATGGATGGATGGATGGATGGATGGATGGATGGATGGATAGATGGATGGATGGATGGATGGATGGATAGATGGATGGATGGATGGATGGGTGGATGGGTGGATGGGTGGATGGGTGGGTGGATTGATGGGTGGATGGATAAATAAATAAATAAATGAATGAATGAATAAATGAATAAATACATGAATAAATTAATAAATTAATAAATGAATGAATGAATGATTGAATGAATGAATGAATGAATGAATGTATGAAAGAATTTGATTAAAGCATTTAATGTTATTGTATAGCACCTTACCTCTTAAAAGTGCTCAGCCATGGGGGGCATGATCAGCCTGTTCTGGTTTAAGGACGAGGAGGGTAAAAAAGGGGAGAAAAGAAAAAGAAAAAGAAACACAACCGTCACTTCAGATGGATATTTCCTCGGGCTCAGAAATTCACACTCACACACACACACACACACACACACACACACACACACTCCCATCCACACAATTTAGATCATTTAGGAGGCGGGCTTCGATCGTGCCTGTCAGGGCCAGTTTTGGCCGAAAGGGATCATACAACATCCCAACAAAGAGACCGTGATACTAGCTAAAATTGTCCCTACTCGGGGATCAAACTCGAGTCTCCTGTATGCAACAGTGTAAACGCCTAACCGCTACACCACAGGCATCAGTGGATTTTTCTGGAAATCACAAACCTCAGGGGGGGGGGGGTTCTGCCTCTTTACCTGTCCACGTGTTTAACCCAATGAGGGTGCAAGTTCTAGTTAATCGACAAAGCTAGATGGCTTATATTCTGTGCTCGGGCATTTCGTTATTTTTGCTGTCTTTTTCAATGTTTGTGCCGTAAAACACCTACTGAAAACTAAAACTCAGACTTTCCAATTTTGTTTGCCATGAAAATATGTAAAACCTGAAAAAGTGGGTGGTTGGCGGGTGCTCTGGTGTGTGTTGCTTCTTCTTTCCTATCAAACAACTATCGTCCTTATCTCCCCTTCTTCTTTTTTATGTTCGTTACTCTCTTGTAACACCTCTAATCTTCTGGCGCTCATGTGACCTTATGCAGTTACGAGCGCCGTAAAACCTCTACTAAAACAAACAAAATGTGCTGCAACAGTGCATCTGGTCTGCTGCTGATCAGACAAAATAATGATAAGTGTCTCATACGTCGTGAAAGAGTTAAAAATTGGTCAATGGCAGAGCACAGTCGGGAACGTATCCTTTATGAGGCTTCTACTACGGGACAAGGCACCCACGCTCTCCGCTGGAAAAGGGTTGATGGTCGTTTAGTGTAATGTTATGTAATAACAGACAATCCTAAGGCCTTGGCACGCCCTTCGACACTTTACGGTTACATAAATGTCAAGACCCCCCAATGTTGTGTCAGTTTCCAATAGAACCGAGCAAAGTCGATGCCAAAAGTTCAGGAACACCCTTGGGGATTCGAACTGGTACGATACGCAATCAATAGACCGGCATAATGGTTGTAAAGCGCATAGAGCATGCTTAATTATTGTTTTTATTTAATAAAGGTTTTACGGCACTCGCAACTGCATAAGGTCATGTGAGCGCCAAGTAGTGCATGCTGTAGAGCGTGGATAATATGCTATATATTATGCAATGATCATTATTGATGTTATGATACAAACTAAAGTGAGGCCACACGCACCCCTAGCTGATATGCTACGTGTGTTTTGTATCATTAGCATGGTAGAGCGTGATAGTCATGTCATGCATTTGTTCATTAGCTGTCTGCCGTAGAGTAAGCATTACGACCATTATAATCGCCACAATATCTGCAACAGAGCATGTAACTGCTACCATAAAATATCTAAAAATAAAATCGTCCCACATTTTTAGGTCCCGAGGGTTAACTTCATTTTCAGTGGCATACGTGCATACATACCTGAGAACATAAATACAATCATTCAATAATTCATTGAGAAAACCTACAGACAATATCACACCAGTACAGACAGTCTTTCTGGCACAATTTTTCCATTTTAATGTAAATGTTTTTACGCCCATATTGACACAGTTTAGATCACTTAGCGGTTCCCGTCGTTTAATGCAAGAAAAATTATGAAATTAAGCAAAATGAGCCCAACATGTGAAATTATGTGATTCTGTTAATTTTAATAAAGAATGATAAAAGAAAATAATCAGAAATTATGCAAAAAATGATCAAATTTTGCTAAATTATGCGGGGTGCATAAGACCACGGGGACAGACTTAGGAGGTAGGCTTCGACTCAGCCTGTCAGAGCCAACCCCGGGTGAAACTACTTAGAGGGATACAAAATACCCAGCAAAAATACCAAGATACTCGACAAAAAAAATTCATGTCAATCAAACTTGGTTCTTTTGTTGGAGACGGCAAAGCGGCTGAATGCTACATCACAATTAATGTTGGCTTAGCCAGTGTACAGCGCACTGTTTTTGGGTGGGGGGTTTTTGGGTTGGGTTTTCTTTCTGTTGTTGTTTGTTTTTTGTTGTTTTTTACATTTCGCCAGGGTTATCCTCATAGTCAGGGACATACCCTAGTCACTAACCACCTTCACGTCGTTTCAAAATGGCATTATTGACATTATTGAAAGACCGAGATTACTAACAAATAAAAGAGAGACAATTCTCAAAGTTCAGATGGTTGGAGGGACCCACAGGTAGTTCCTACTTCTTTTGTTTCCTTCTGTTGTTTCTGGTTGACTGTCTTATTCTTTTCCGCGCACGACTATCAATGTGTTAGTTTTACTGAAAACAAACAAACAAACAAACAAACAAACAAACAAACAAAAAAGAAAAATCACAGGACCAAAAAGTCGTTTATCATTAATTTCTCACCTAGGTATGACCGCATCTGTCTGCCAGAGCTAGGCATTCCTACGGAGGAGATGGTCGACCAGTATTTATCCCATTTTAAGGTTTGTACACCCATGAATATTTATTAATTGATTGATTGATTGATTGATTGATTGATTTCAAATGGCATTGCTGTTATTGTTGTTATTATCATCATCATCATCATTATAATATTATTATTATTATTGTTATTATTATTAATA